AGAGTGAAAATGACGAGGAAACTTTATTTTTCATACCCAATCACCGTAATTGACGGTGATTGGGTATGAAAAATTAGCTTACAATTTAAAAGAAAATTACCCAATTGACGGTCATGATTGAATGGAGAGTGAAGATGACGAGGAAACTTTATTTTTCATACCCAATCACCGTACCTTACATATACTTATCACGAATCCAACTTTTATATTATATAAATTCAATTTAAGAATTGACAATCTCATTGTTTTTCATGGTGAATTACGACCAATTTTCCTATTCTGATTACTTTGTAAAATATATTCGTTGCTTGTGTTGAGAATCAAACATTTTTGGATGTAAGCAACTAAACAATTAATAATTTCATGAAAAAAAAGTAATTAAAATGAATAACATATATTTTTAATATTTCAATAACTTTATAACAACAAATTCCTTATGATACGATAGAGTTGTGTCAGTTATTTTCTTTTAAATTGTACCAAACTAAAAATATATAATTTCGAAAATCGTGCATTTCCAACATCATAATTTTATATTAAATATAACCCACCTGACAAATGATCAATTATTAGGCCATTGGTTTGTGAAAGCTTAATTGTGAAGGATGTTGGACTGGGAGGGAGAACGAACTGCCTAATCGTGGATTGCTTACCGTAAATGCCTAATTGGATTTACACAGGCGGCCCTTGACGGTGCCTGCAACAGGTGTCAAGTGGGAACGCAAAAGTCAAAGTCAAAGTCAAAGGAGCATGACGACGGGAGGGAATGAATCTTTGACGTAAGCAGTAGAATGAATGAATTATAAGGCCCAGCTGCACCAGAAAACAGATGACTCGATTTGCTGCATGTGCACCGAGCCAGCCAGTGATTAACAAAATGGTCCCCTTTAGGCTCTGGAAAAGCTTTTTATGATTAATTTAACAAATGGATTGATCCATGGGTTGGTGGATTGGATTGGTGGATTCATTAATCTAATAGATTGGATCAAGTGGACTGGATTGGTGGATTATCCATGAATTCAAATGAGATCCTCAATCAAGGACCAATATATATATAAAAATATGAAAAGTTTAGGTACTAAAATGTCATAATGAAGAATTTTAGGTACCAAAACATAATTTTCCAATGATATTTTTCGTATAAAAATTAAATTTTAGATTCCAAAATGTAAAATATAGAAAATATCAGTACCAAATTGTAATTTGTCATTTGGATCCGTGGATCAATCCATGAATCCACCAATTCAACTGGATTTAGATCAAATAGATTGGATTAGGTGGATATTTTTAATGAATTGGTGGATTGGATTGAGAATTGCCACCTCTATTTTCAGTCCATGGAATCATGGAATGAGGGACTGGGGAAAATTACAAAGTTCAGGGACTTATTTTTTGCTAAAAGCAATCTGCGTGGGCTGATTTGAGGAAATGTGAAAGTTAAGGGGTCCGAATTAGCATCAAATCATAAAAATTCGGGGAAAATAAACTGAATCGCTATTCGTCGCCCTAAAATTCAAATTTTATCACTCTAAAACGCACTAAATTGACATATTTACCCCTTAACAAAATCTGTAGGGTAAATTGCAAGGTTGGTCACTAAAAGTGTTAAAAAATTCACGTCTAGTGACTAAAATTATTTTATTCCATTCATGATCACTGAAAGTGGTTAAACGTTTCATGTTTGGTCACTCTCCATTAACACCGTCAATTTCTTGCTGACGTGGCTAACAGAAACGCCTAGTCAGCATAATTTAACCCAAAAAGGTGGTAACCCGACCCGCCACGTCAGTTTTCCAACCCAACCCATAAATTGACCCCTTCTCCATTTGAACCAAGAACCAACCCACTTAAACCCATATCTGAATCTCCATCCTCCCCCCTCTCTCCCGTTTCTACAAAGAAAATCCCTAAACCCAACGAGGTAGAAAAACCATTAACCTCTAGGCGGCCATCGAACTCTCTCCCGTGGGTGGTTTTGTGTTTTTGCCGTTGTTGATGATGTTGTTGTCGGCTGGTAAGAAAAGCCAACAACCTCCAGCCGAACCTCTACCCTGTCGATGTTGACCACCACCATCACCGCGAAAGTTTGCGATTCGTGATTAGCCACCTAGAATTAAAGCATTTTGGGGGCTTTCCTAGCTGTCGGCATCGTCTTCTCGCAGGAGAGTTGCGGATCCAAGTGGTTTCGGAGAAGAATAACCGAGAAGGAGATGGCATCGTCTTGCCAACGATGAGCTTTCCAGATCTGGTTTGACGATTGGGGATCTAGATCGATGACTGCATGTGATCCTTGTGCCGGAGCCGAACATCATTTCAACACTAGGTCTTTGGGTTTCCTCCTTCCCCAAACTTGAGGAGATCTGTTCCATAAATGGTTGTTGATATAAAGGGATTGTGAGGGAGAAGAAATGCCAGATTGGATTTTCAATTGGGTATAGCATTCTTAAGCTAAACGGGAGAGGTGGACGGGGAAAGGATGCGAGGTAAGAGGTGGACGGGGAGGGATGTGAGGAGGAGCTGGAAGAGCTCACCGACGGGGGAAGATTTTCGCAGAGAGGGAAATGGTGAACTGTTGACTCTTTTTGGTCGGGTGGGTTAATTAGGTAGGTCGGGTCACTGGTTGGGGTGGGTTTAATGATGTGGCGGGTCGGGTTTTCACTTTTCGAGTTAAATTATACTGATTTGGCATTTCTATTAGCCACGTCAGCAAAAAACTGACAGTGTTAACGGAGAGTGACCAAACGTGAAACGTTCAATCGCTTCCAATGACCACGAATAAAATAAAATACTTTTAGTGAGCAAATGTGAATGTTTTAGCAATTCGAGTGACCAACCTTGCAATTTATCCAAAATCTGTATCCTAATATCCATCCCTACACCAAACAATTCCCGAGAAGCTAATTTGCTTTCCAACAACTTTAACTTATCTCTCCCCGGTCACCTCGAAGAAAAAACTTAGGGGTCGTTAGCTTGTTGGATTTGGGTCATGGATTTGGTACCCAAATCCCAAGCTTGATGGATTTAACATAAGTCCATTGTTTGTTGAAGGGTGCTAAATTCGTGGGGTCCACAGATTTGGTCTTTATTTTGGAACCAAATCCATGGACCCCACGGACTTGTAAATCCCACATATTGATTTGGGATTTACAACTCCTTGATGGTTAGTTATTTATTTAACAAATCCATCATCAAATCTATCATGCAAACATTAAACTCTTCAAATCCATAATCCAATAAATTCAACATAAATCCCAAGATTTTTATTGGCCAAAACCCTCATTTTTCAAATTCAACAAGCAAACGACCATTCTTCCTTTCCACATCTGCAACTCCTACTGACATTGGAAGAGGGTCTGCATTACTCACTCCTGCGGACAGCAACATCCCAGACCGCCGCCGTCGTCCCCCAGCCAACGGTGATCCAGCAACAAATTGCAAAATGCGAGGCAGCTGCACCACCACCATCTTCCTTGCCAGGATATAGTCACGTGATGGCGGCTGCAGGGCAGGCAGCGGATAATTAGTAATTACAATGTTAATGACTGGAGGCAATTCTCTTTCCATGGTAACAATAGTAACAGCCACCACAATTACAATCACGATCGCCCCGGTTCTGGTTGGAACAATGGAACGACGATGGCGATGAACTTGGGATCCACAGACCGTAACGTTTCAGCCGCTAGCGACGACGATGTTCCAGGCCCAATATTGCCGCTCAGCTTTTGTTGGAACGCGTTAGGATGATTACTCAAAATTGAGTAATCACCGTGGCTACTAAAATCTAGACCCTTAATTATCTATATTTTACTCTAATTTTAAATTGACGGTGAAGATTAGATTAAGGGTAATTTTGAGAATAAAAAAAATATCACACCTGATTTCTATCCTTTAAAAAATTAATTCTATATATTATACCTAAACCTACTCCAACCCTATTTTATATCGTCGTCAACACCTATCCTGCGGCCCTCCCACTGCCGGCAGCCGCCCACCCTCCGGCGACCCTCGCCCACCTTTGCCGTCTCTCTCTCTCTCTCTCTCTCTCTCTCTCTCTCTCTCTCTCTCTCTCTCTCTCTCTCTCTCTCTCTCTCTCTCACAGATGGCGGTGGAGGTGTTAGATGGTGATGCCAGCCTAGGCCAGCCTTCCAAGTCATCTCCCGGTTCCAGCAATACCTCCAGATCAACACCGCCCAGCCCACTCCCGACTACCACCTCGCCGCCGATTTCCTCATCTCTCAAGCCGATTCCATCTCCCTCCCATCCCGCTCCATCGAATTCGTCCATGGCAAACCCTTGGTATATTTTTTTTGTATTGCTTTGTTTTGGTATTGATTTTGTCGCATTGGTATTATTTTTGTCGTAATGGTATTATTTTTATCATATTGGTATTGATTTTGTTGCAATGGTATTATTATTGTCGCAATGGTATTGATTTTGTCGCATTGGTAGTGATTAAATCTGCAATGGTATTGATGTTTTGTGAAATGGTAGTGGTTTTCTTTCTTGAATGGTATCGATGTTTTGTGAAATGGTAGTGTTTTTATTTCTTGAATGGTAGTTTTCGTGTAATGGTATAAATTTATTTATGCAATGGTAGTTTTCTTGTAATGGTATAGATTTATTTCTGCAATGGTATTGATATTTTTCAAAGTGGTAGTGTTTGTCTAATGGATTGGTACTAATTTTGTTTTTTTTTTTTTTTTTGCAGAAAGATTGAGAAAAATATGGAAAGGAAATCTCGTTGGAGATTACGGAAGTGAGAGAAAGAGAGAATTTTAATTAATGGATTTTTGTAACTACCTTAAATGTAATTTATTAAAAAATTAATTAATATAATTTATTTTTCCATACCCAATTTACCCTTAGTAACCACGGTGATTACTACAAAGTAGTAATCACCGTAACCTGTCCCGCTTTTGTTTGTTTTTTTTTTCCTCCGTAATTTACAAGTTTGTATTGGGTTTAAGTGTTTAACCTACAAATATATGAATAATAAGGACATTAAAGTAAAGTTAATTAGGGGCGACGAATAAGGGGTATTAGGGCTACGAATAGCCATTCCCAAAATAAAACTATTGGACACGGCGTGGCGAACTGTCGTTTTAACTACTGAACCTGACCGGGCGACTTTCTTTCCCGAGAGCCTCAACCACCTACGCCGGAGGGAAAGCGCAGCAATGGCGGAATCCGAAACGAGGGATCAGCTAACCGCCTTCTTACAGTCCGGCATTTACCGCTTCAGCAACTCCGCCGTCCCCGTCATCTTCATGGACCCAGTCCGCGTCCTCAATCGCTCATATTCCCGAGTTAGGGTTTCTCCTTCCACATACTACTCCCGCTTCTTCAGTTCCAATGTCGCCGCCGATGGCGTCCTCCGTGAAACCGAGCTCTCTTCAAGTTCGAAGAAACGGAAGCGAAAGGAGAAGAAGCCTCTGACCTTGAACGAACGAGAACAAGCTGCCGACCAGCGCCACCAGGTAATTTTGGCTGATAACCTTCCATCGGCTTCTAATTGAACACTGTGCTTAGTCAAGTTCTAGGGTTTATTTGGATTTCTGGTTTCGAAGCAAGTTCGGCCGATGTTGTTGAAAGCGCACGAATGTTTGATCGGAGCTGCTGAGCTTCTGGGTGTACTCAGAAGTTTAAGCTGGGATTCCTCTTCCACAGCGGAACGCCGGGAAGTAACCGTCGGCGGAACTGAGCCGTCGTTTCTTGAGCTTGGAAAAGTCTGGCAAGCTCCCCTTTACGAAATAACCCTCAAGTTTCCTCGAACTTGCGCGAGCAACGAAAATGAAGGTCAGAATGAACAAAAATGTTTGCCCTTTGCTTAGTGAGTGAGTGAATTCAGACTGTCTCCATCCATTGTTTGGTTTCTCTCAGGGGACATTGTTGATCAATGGTGTGACCAGAGAGTGGTTCCTGTATTCGACAATTTGGTTGTGAATGAGATTGGTGATGAAGTGGAAGCAGAATTCCTGAGCAGGAAATATGTGATACCTCGACAGAGTTGCTTCTACATGGTAACTTGTTGTTGATGAATCCTTTTGTGTTTTCCACTGTAGTTTTGCTTGCTCTTACATATTTTTGCATGTCTTTCCTTGTACACGCACTTCAAGTCTGACCTGGGGAAGATTCACAACCTGATCCCTGGTAGTTGTTCCATATGAAACTCCAAAATGTAGCTTCCTTGAGTTTTTGTGTTCCGGTTCCCGTAGGGGGTTTGAAATGCTGATGCCTGTTTCTTGATGCCAAGAATTTCCAGGCCTTGGTTCATCCAATGATCGTTAGAAACCAATGTAATTTCGTTCTGCTGGTCTGTGGCAGCTGATCCTGGCAGCGGCTTCAATCTTATACTGATTGATCCCCCATGGGAAAATGCGAGTGCTCATCAGAAACTAAAGTGTGTAACTTTCACAACACTTTCAAAAATGCTTTCTTTTTTACCCTTAAAATTTCTATAATTTTTACCAAGATGAGCAGAGGCTTTATCTGTGCTTGTTTGTCAAAATGTTTTCCAGGTATCCGACTTTGCCTAACCGGTATTTCCTGAGCCTTCCCATTAAGAAGCTCGCCCATTCGGATGGAGCTCTTGTAGGGTTATGGGTGACCAATAGGGAGAGATTGAGAAATTTTGTCGAGGAAGAGTTGTTTCCTTCATGGGGAGTTACTTATGCTGCTAGCCTGTTCTGGTTGAAGGTCAAAGCAGATGGATCATTGACCAGTTATTTGGACCTATTTCATCACAGGCCATACGAGTGTCTTCTTTGGGGCTACTGCAACGGGAAGGTGAGACACTAATGTTGGCTTGAAACTCATAAGCATTCCATTTTCACACACTACATGAATAATAAATACTTACAGAGATTGCTTTTATCAGGGTGAAAGTTGTGAACTGCTGTCAGGAATGAGAGGAACTATGGAGGATCAAATCGTGATAAGCATCCCGGGAGATTACTCGAGAAAGCCACCAGTTGGAGGTAAACCCTTGGTCATCCAACATTTACAATATCCCCCCGTAACACAGATTACAATGTGAAAGAAAGAATCTTGATCATCTGCTATATCACTTTAGAACTTCTGCAGAAGTATGTGCCAGGCGCTCACCTTCCTCGATGTATCGAGCTTTTCGCGAGGGAGATGGTTGCCGGATGGACTTCGTGGGGCAACGAGCCTCTTCGCTTTCAGGATTCCCATTATTTTTCGCTGAATCAGGATGATACTGTTGTACTACAATGAGACAGATCAGAGGTTGTATGTATTTTTCTCATCAGGAATCTGTTGCACCCTATCTGGTCCCTTATTAGATTGGTGTGGTCAGAGTCCCAGAGTCAGACAAAGAATGAAAGACAATTGGATGGATAGTGGGCAGGCCAGTCCAAGTCGGGCCCAAACAAATGAGGTCCGGTCAAATAGAAAGATGGACAGCGAAAGGATAAAGGAACCAAAACCCACGCAGAATCAAAAGAAACAATAATGAGAAGCCCCCTTAGTCTGAGAACAAAACGAACAAAAACAAAGGATCAGAGCCCATTGTCACATATGAAACCCAGCGTGCTTTGCTGGTCCATTCCTTCACTGTCATTCAATTCACTTTTCTTTGATAGGTTGACCAATTATTGCAGTTCATGAACCTATTAACAAGTTGTGTTAAGCTTCTGATGTTGTTGCTAACAGGTCCTTTATGTAGCATAAACTCGATGGAAGATACAAACTAAGTGGGCCTAAGTGGTTGTTTGTATGCTATGGGAGAAGGGAAGTGGACACAATGAACATGAAATCCACATTTCAGGGAGTGACCATGTGCATCCAAGATTTGTACAAAGTTTAAACTCATAAGTTGTAAGTTGGTTTTTCGAAAGGAGAAGAGCGAAGGAAATTTTCTTTTAAGTTATAGGTTATCCGAAGGCGAGTAAAAGGCAATCGAACTGAACAAAGGAAGGAGAAAGGCAACCAGTCGAATAAGAAGAAGGGGGCGCCGAGAGCAGCTCAAGTCGAATCGGCAGAAAGTCCCGTCCCTGGGGCTTACAAGCGAACAACTTCAGCGTCTCGTTCAATTCCTCAACACGGTGAGTGCTCCACCAACAAATCATAATTCGAATTCAACAGTTTGGGAGGATATGTAAGGATCCATCAATTCGACTTATAGAGGATCACGTGACTTCTTCCACTTAGGTACAACATACAAAGCATGATCAATAGGGTTTTCGAACTGATTAGGTTATGTCTTGTAATATGCCTCCAAGGTCCAAGCACAATGTTTTGGAATACATAATTTCCGCCAAATTGCTTTAAATCATTCCACTTTTGGACTAGCTATGCAAGCAGCTTTTTACGAGGAACTATTATTATTAGTTTAGCGGATAGTTTAGTACTTTGATATCTTTAAGTCTATCAGGGGTGGTTTTCGAGTAAGAGTCAATATAATGCACACATTAGTAATTTTCATCAAAATTATTAATCAAACATTTCCTATCTTCCCCTTCAATCCCTACTACATATTTTTTCCTGCTTATTCTAGTCCTCCCGTTCTTTTGTTTTTATCCTAAATCTATTTCGAATCGTATCTTATTACGTTAATCTCATATGCCAAGATACAGCCCTTCATGAGCTTTCCAAACCAACTTCGCCAACTAGCGAGGTAAACCTAGCTCAATCATACCATCAATTGCAGAACCTAGCCCCCGAGATGTGGCTCACAAGCCACAACCTCGGGTTGGCATTTAAATATGTGCGTTCAAATCTAGCAACTAACATTATTCATGGATAAGTCCCAAATCAAACCATGTGTTAGCTTATACTTCTAATTCGAGGCTACCCATGAAGATTCATTTTCAACCAAGTCATCCTAAATGTGGTCAATAATATATGTTTTGTTCCACAACTTGAAGTCCTTTGTCTCCAAACCCCTTCAGATTTAGGTTGAGCAACATATTACCAAGCAAAAAGAGGAGAAGTTCAAGAATGTTGGCCATCAATTCCCCGAAGAAACTCACTACACGATCACTTCAAAACTCTTTGATAGACTTATTAGGCAATAGAAACAAGTTCATCAAGTATTGAAACATACTGCTCAAAACAAAAGCGATATAGTCCAAGAGGTTTTTGCAATCGGTTGAGGTGAGCTTCTCTAAAATGATAGGAACTCCTAAGCAGAGAACAGCAAGATCCCCCAAAAATTTGATCCTAGAAAACTTGTAGAAATCAGCCATCACACACACAATCTCTGCAATTGCATGAATTGGACCATTTATGAAAATTTTGATATTATCTAGGAAAAGTAGTGGTGGAGTTAGAAATTTGAACGAAGGGGACTTACTTACTTGAATTGTACTAAATGGGAGTGGGGCTAAAACCTTATCAATTATTCTTATTCCTCAATCTGAACAAAATATATATGTAATTTTACATATATTTCAAAGTTAAAGGGGTTAGAGCTCCTCTTAGCTTCAACCTAGCTCCTCCACTCACGCAAAGCAAGTTTGTACTCTCAAAGAGCTCTACGTCAAGGATGGAACATTTGTCGCACTTGCAAAAGTATATTAGACAACAGGTTGGCCAACAATTTGACGACACCCTTTATACATGACACTACAACATGAAATTGGCTAGTTCTTCATATGCTCAACATTGGTAATCCGAGAAATTAGATACTCTATCGTGGAGTCTACCTTCTTAAAAAAAGAAAATTACCGCTCTAGACAGTTGCTTGATTTCAAAGAAACCGAGTAAAACATCCTCCACTTCATTTTCTTATGATTGGCCATGCAGATGGAAGCCATCAAGCCCCCCCCCCCCCTTCACGGCTAGGGGTGGATATCGGTATCCCAATACCAAATACCAAAATTCCAAATACGGAATTACACCCTAAAATCAATCTCAATCCCTAAATAATTTCGGTATCTCAATCCCAATCCGTCAATATTTCGGTATTCCCAATCGATATCTCGGTATCCCAATCGGTATTATTGAATACAAAATTAATTAAATTTGCAATTAATAATTAAATATATAAAATAGATTTTACTGTTTAATTTAGGGCAATTAGACTAAGCAAAGAGTCTTGAGTTGCCTAGAGCTAACATCTCAAATTTTTGTAATTGGTAATCTTTAATTTGAGGAATTGGAGGCTGAGAGACGACTAATACTAGTGTGAAATAGTGATGGAATGATCCATGTATAATTAAATGACACTCTTGGTGGTTGAGGGTCGCGTAGTAGTGAATGAGAGAGTCTAGTTGAGAGGATAAAATGTATTGATCGGTATTTCGGTATATACCGATCCCAATCCCGTAATCCCTAATACCGAATAACAATTGAAAATCAATCCCAATCCCACGAAATAATACGTGTATTCGGTAATACCAAATATAGACAAATTCGATATGGTATTCGATATATTCCAAATACCGGTACCAAACTTCCAGCCCTACTCACGACTACCCTGAACTCGATTAGCTACTTAGCTCCATGATTCCAACCCCTACATGTCAAACACTATACTACAAACATATCACATATAAATTCTTAAAGTTTCATGTACAAAGTTTATGATATCTTCAAAATAATAACTTACGATCATTAGTCATTAGTCATTACCAAACCAGCAATTGTTGTTGCTCCACTAAAATAAACAAATAATAACAACCCCAAAAGTGGAGGTTTGGATGGATCACATATGTTTTCCTGTCTTGATTATCACTAATCTCTTTATATCTTTGTAATAACTGTACCCACTCCCGATTATAATGAATATATTAATGCACGTACTTTGAGATTATTCGATGATCAGCTAGCAGGCAAACACCAAAGAAAAGAAAGTTTGATATCATGTGAAAGTGGGTGCCCTTCATTTTTGACTGAGATGTCCCAAAGATGATTGCTTTTGTGAATTTAGAGCAAGACCATCTTCTTCTTTTTCAATTTGGGGTAAAGATTTTGCCCTCTTTTTTGTGTCTTTGTATTGGGCAGCTCTGACTTCCTTGTCTGAAACACTGCAAATTCCAAAGTAAAATGGGGATTCGCTTTGCAGATGTTTTTTCCTTCTTTTTCTCTCTGTTATCTTATGGACGCAGCGCAGCAGAGGTGCTAACATTGATTAGGAACAATGAGGGATTTGGCTCATAAATCCAGCACTGCTTTTTCAGCCACATTACACGTAGACTTTCACACTGTTCACTCACAATTAATGTGTCCTTTCTTTATGTAGTGGGCTTCTTCTATTCGGATTAAGTCGAGTTGAATCCACATGATTAGCCTTAAAGTCAAGAAAATCACACTGAACTTTGATTGGGGTCTGAGCATGGATGTTTTTGTTCGAGCTCGTTATATGTAAAAGCAACATAGATGTGTTCGGGGAAAAAGTAGAGAAAGAGACATAAGAAAAAGGCGAATGTAAGATCACGAAAAGTAGGAAGATCATTCTACTTCAAAGATCTAACCTTTATATAGGTTACGATTTATGCCCCTTGTTTCGGACTTTCATTAGGCATCAAAGACTAAGCTTCATGTGCTTGGCCTAGAGATTTTTAGTTTTTTTTTTTCTTACAAATATGATCGAAGGTGTTTAACAAATCTTATTTTTCGTATTCTTATGTATGAATTGGGTGAAGGATTATGTTAAAATGCTAGTGAAGTCATTTATTATACTTTAGGCAGTGAGCTAGCCAATTGACCAAGCAATTTGATGAAGTTAATGGCGTCCAGCGTTATTAACTATTTTCTTGTTGGGACCTTTCAAAAAGTTATTTTTGTGAATGGTTAAAAAGAATTTTTACCGTCGATAAAAAAAGAAAAGAAAAAAGGAATTTTTACTGAAGCTTTGACATGTGGGAATTGGGCCTGGTCCAAGTACTGAAACCTTCCCCATCCAATAGCATGGTTCGTATTTGCTCATCCAGTGGCTGTGGGCCTGCTCCCCTCAAAAGCAAGACCCTACCGGTTTTTTTTACTATATTGTTATTAGTTTATGAAAAAGATTTTTTTTTTTTTGGTAATAGAAAAATAAATTTTCTATGGACATTGTAATAAATTTTATTCGATAAAATACTTTTCTATTTATTATAAGTATTTTTGTGTGGGTCATTTCAAAGACCAGAACCAGAACGTGAGACAACTACAAACTACTTAGTACTTACACAATACACGGGGCAAACACTCCCCCACATCTCTCTCCCCCTCGTTCTACATATTACAATTTTTTTAGTGAAAAATGGTGCGAAGTTCAACAGCTCTTAATTATCAATGAAACGAGAAAGAGAAATTCCGATAAAATTATATATCGATCAATGATTAACATACGAGTTTGGAAAACTAATAGAACAAGTTTCTCGGTGCATAGTATGGTCGTAATGAGTTAGACAACCGGCAAGAAAATTAACCTCTCAATATACATATGATAAAGTAACCTCTCAATTTCGTGCGAGGAGTGCTAGATAGGAGTGAATAAGGAGTACATGTTGATTAGGGACATCGTATGTGGCCGATAGGCGAGCAACCACAATGATGGAGCCTATCTGAAGTGCCACTCGTCAATATTCTACGTCCCAATCTAGCTCCAAACATTTGAGTATCCCCAGAATTATGAGCAAGTGATCGTACATTTTTCTCAACTTCTATTTCACATTTTATAGTTTAGGATTAATGCTCTTAAATAGCTAGAACATTGGCCATTGGCACAATGGTGTCATGTGGTAACATAGTCATTCACGAATAAAGATTGATCCATATGATCAGTGATCAACTTAAAGAGGTTGGGTCGTGTTCATCTTAACAGTATACGCTTTCAGATATTTTTGTCATTTTCAATGGCACGGTTGTGGACTGTGGTTATCCAAAGCGGAACAATTCAAATCATTTTAACGTAGCGGTTTTATAATTAGTTGAGGGTATAATTTTCATTGCACTCTCTCAATTTTCAAAATATGATAAGAAAATAAATGTACAACCTGTATAAAGCACACAAATTAAAATCAATGGATGGATTATCAAGATTTTAACTTAAAAGGCCATTTTCCCTCCAATTCTATTCAAATTTTTAGTTTTGTCACTTTTACAAATTACATTCTTAAGAAAAAATGGTTAAATATAATAATAGTAGAGGTTTGTTGATGAACTTGCCAATTCAGATAATTATAGTAGAGGTTTGTTTTCGGTTATTAATTTATCGCATTATTATTTTTCATTATACAATTGTTTTATAAGGATCATATCAATTTAAATAATTTTAAATGAATTAACCAGGGGACCACACACATGGCAAAGACTCCTTTCTCTGGCTTCGAACATCGAACCTTCCTCACGTCTCTTACATGACTGATCTCACCATCTCCTTCACTTCCATCATCATCCAACGGCTCACAATTAAAAAAAGCATTCCAACGGCTGCCTTTCCCCTGCACCCGCCTGCACCCTACCATTTCCGGCATCTCCCAGCCCCGAATTAAATAAAAAACAAAAAAAGAAACGCTTTCTTTTTCAGACCTCTCTTTCCTTTTTCTGTTCTTCTCTTCCTCCTCTGATCTCTTCTCTCAATTAATCTCTAAGCTCGAGAGAGAGAGAGAGAGAGAGAGAGAGAGAGATTCTTCTTCTCTGCATTACACTTCCAGCGAAGGTTTCAACAACATCAAAGCGCATTCCTCGTGACCAACTCTTCCTTCTCCTCTCGTTCCCTCTCTCTGTTTCAGACAACACAGCCCTCGCTGTTCTGATTTGCCTCGCTTTTTCCCCCTTCCCCTGCTTTGAGCTGGTTACCAGCAGCCGGCGCCGGGAGGAGAAAGAAAGAAGGTAAGGATGACCTCCGACGGGGCGACGTCGGCGGCGGCGGCAGCAGCTGCGGCGGCGAGGAGGAAGCCGTCCTGGAGGGAGAGGGAGAACAACCGGAGGAGGGAGCGGCGGCGGAGGGCCATCGCCGCGAAGATATTCACTGGGCTCAGGGCTCAGGGGAACTACAATCTGCCCAAGCACTGCGACAACAACGAAGTCTTGAAGGCCCTCTGCCAGGAAGCTGGATGGGTCGTTGAAGAAGACGGCACTACTTATCGCAAGGTAATGATTTCCACCCCACCCTTTTCTTCTTTTTCCCACGCCGGATCTGGTGAATCTGTTGGGACTTCGGGTTCTTGATTTTGTGGTAAATTGGGAGCTGGGGTCGGGTTCAATTTCTCCCCCTTTTAGAGCTGGATCCTGGGTTTAGAATGAATTTGATTTCTTTGTGGAGTGTTCTTGTTTATGGGGGTTGGATTAAATTCTATTCAGTTTCTTTGCAAATGGGTATCTTTCTCCTCAGTCAAAGTAAGCAATTCCCTTGTCAATTCAGCTGATTTAGGGACGATCTACTAGTACTATCACCTTAATTGCAGCTTCCATTTCCAGTAACTGCAGTCTTGGAAATGGGTCAAAAGGAGGGGGGTAAAAAAATTAAAGGAAACCGACTTGTCATTCATGGAAAGCTTTGAATTGATCTGGATTTTTCGTCGCTTTGAATTGCGTCGCTGTTTATGTTGCTGATCATATTGTCCGATCTTGTGTTCTGGGGTGTGAAAAAATGAACCAGGGATGCAGGCCTCCACCGCTTGACATAGTGGGAACTTCAGCGAGAGTGACTCCATACTCATCTCAAAACCCAAGTCCAATGTCGTCTTCATTCCCAAGTCCCATTCCGTCTTACCAAGTCAGCCCTTCGTCTTCATCCTTCCCAAGTCCAACCCGGACCGAAAACAACCACCACCACCACCATCCACCATCTTCCTCCATGTTCCCCTTCCTTAGAAACTCCATTCCTTCATCTCTGCCACCTCTCAGAATCTCCAACAGCGCTCCTGTCACCCCGCCTCTCTCCTCCCCGACTTCCCGAAACCCTAAGCCGACGATCCCCACCTGGGAGTCCATCATGGCAAGACAATCCATGGCCACATTCAACTACCCCTTGTATGCCGCCTCTGCCCCAGCTAGCCCGACTCATCGACAGTTCCATGCTGTTGCTCCGGCTACGATACCCGAGTGCGACGAGGTATCCGATACTTCGACGGTTGAGTCGGGGCAGTGGATCAGCTTCCAGAAGTTCGCCCCTGCCATGGCTGCTGCAATGCCGACATCTCCGACTTATAACCTCGTGAAGCCACCGCCGGTGGTTCAGCAGAGCCTGTCTCACGACACGATCATGGTCGAGAACGGGAGGACGATGATGGAGTTCGAGTTTGGGAATGGCGAGCAGGTGAAGCCATGGGAAGGTGAGAGGATTACTGAGGTGGGGTTGGATGATCTTGAGCTCACTCTTGGGAATGGGAAAGCCAGAGGTTAAGTGAAAGATCAGAAGGCCTGTTGTCACAGTTCTTGGTTTCCAAAGAGTATAAGCAAGCACTCTTTATGAACTTCCATACAGAGAGGGTCCCTATGAAGAACCAATGCATCATACTTGGGAATCAAATCCTTGGGGGTTTCTGATTGAAGAGCTGAACTTCTCTTATCTATGAGCTTCCTTCTTCTTCATGGTTTACATCTAGTTTCCTGTCTTTTCTGTTTTAGTGTTTCTTTTCAATCGTTTTTGATGGTGATGGAATTGGTTTGAGGGATGGTCTTTATTACAAGCATATTACTTGTAGATATTGTGGGTTGGGATATTATGATGATGATCATGGTGGGGGGAATTGGAGGAGTTACTGTTACTCCCTCTATTGTAGACCCTTTTTTTTTCTTCCTTTTAACTTTGTAGACTGATGAACCCAGAAATGAGAGGAGGCAAAAGAACAACCCTTTGGAGGATATTAAATTAAGAGATTATATCAGTTTGCTGTTGGTGTCCTTGTTACCTTTTGCTTCACTTTTCTCCTATGCCACAAATTCTGCTGTTGAGGATGATGGTGTTGCTGTTGCTATTACCTTGTCGTGTTCTTCAGTGTAATGATGTTCAGTTTCCACCTTTCTGTTTCATGTCGATAAGCTCCTGATGTCACTCACTCTATCCAAGTTGCCAATTGGAAGAGAATGCTTAATTACTCTTTCCCTGAAGTCTTGAATTCAAGACCTTCAATAATAGTCTTGTAATGGATCAAAAAGACGATGATGTGATGTGATATCTCCATTCATAGAACATGGATGGAGTGGGTAGGAGAGGAAGTAGTGAGAAATGGGGAATAGTAGGCCGACAAAGCCCACGTTCATTCATGGTGAAGAAAGATGCATTTCCATTCAATGCTGCTGAGTGAGAACTGAGAGAAGGGAGTTTGAAGGAAAATCTCTAGGTGTTGTTAAAGATGATGGGGGGAGTTTGTTTATTTGGGGCAATGTTATTATCTGTTTGGAAGGTAAGGCTAAGGTGAGGAGGTGGGTCGGGTCGGGTCTCTATCCATTATATCTTTTTCCAATTCTGATTTTGCATTCCATTTGTCATTTTGGTGCATGTGGCTTGCCCCCCCTACCATCATCGTCTTCCTCTATTATTAACTTCCCTTAGGTTATATGATTCGTCAAGAAGAAATGGAAATGGAATTCTATTTCCAATTCCTATTTTTATAGAATTCCATTTCCAATTTTAGTGTTTGGTATAATTCCTCCCACTAAAGAAATGAATTGCACTTTTAACAATAATTAATAATATAATATATTTATTTTATCTTGGGAAATGAAATATGAATGATAGAGAAAGAGAGTAGTGTGATAGTTGGTTAATAAAATAATAATAAATAGTGATGGGACCCACTAATTCCATCTTCATAAACACAATTCCTATCACTTTTGATAGGAATTGTAATTCCCAAAACTTAGCCCAAATGGAATTCATTTCTCAACCTTCTTATTCTTCCAAACATAAAATATGGAATTGAAATTGAAAATGGAATTCCAATTCCTGAGTTTTTTGTCGATCCAAACAGGCTGTTAAAGAAATGTGGAAAATTTAGAGTAGATTGGATAGTATTATCTCTTGTGACTTATCTTATCATGTCAACCTTCTAAAGTTGGTTCGTCATTTAGTTACATCTTGTATGATCATGAATAAAAAAGGTGTTCAATAAAGATATGAAGTTGACGTTCAAATCTCGAGAGTTGACCTGTAAAAAATTGTCGAGTTCAACTAAATCTCGATCGGTACCAAGGTAAACTTCAAATTTACAACAACTTAAGTAATCAGACTACCAATTGTATGAAGCTAGCAACAAAAGGTAACATTAGGTGGAAGAGAAAAAGCAAGCTAATATGCTACATTATACCCTTAGCACTCTTGCTACAATGTGTCTCCATGACCATGATAGGGCTCTCTTTGAGTTCCTCCAGTCTTTGCTAGGTTTCAGGTAGCACCGAAGCCAGAAATTCAAATAAGGGTAGAGAAGGGAGCGGGACCTAGGGGTGGACATACGGATCGGTAAAACCGAACCGAATATAAATCAAGCCGAAATCGAATTAATGTTATTCGGTTCGGAATTCGGAAGAGAAAATGACATATTTCGGAAACTAGGGTCCTTTCGACCGAATCGAATTTTCGAATTACGAACCGAAAAACTGAATAATTATAATTGCAAGCTCCAAATGGTGGATTTTTGTGTTTCTACTTAATATGAGACTTAAATATTTGAATCATGTTAGTGTTTTATGATTTATGTGTTGAAATGTTTGATTTTATCATTGATGATGCATATTTATTGTTTACATTAGGGGTGAAAAATAATTTAAAAGAGAGAAGATACAAGCTAACCTCACAAGTTTGATTTGTATGAAAAACCGAACCGAACCTAATTATAATTCGGTTTGAACCGAACGAACCGAATTATAATTCGCTTTGAGGTTTGATGAAATTCGGGGACCCAGTATGCATTATTTCGGTTCGATTTGAACCGAACCGACCGAATGCCCACCCCTAGAGGGACCTGGCTTGAATTGTCGTAATTGGGAGAGGAGGATAAAGTCTTAGCGATTGTTCTAATTCATAAATTTGGGCTTTACCTATATTTTTCGGGACAATTCCTCCTAATTCAACCTAGTTCCCCCACTGGTTTCAAGCAAATTGAGAAGCTTCCATCTTCGAGTCCTCTTTGCTTAATTATGGTGTACCTATGGTAAATCTAAGGGGTCGTTTGGAGAACAGGATTTAGGACGTGGATTCACTGAATCCGTAGATTTTGTAGAAAGTTATGTTTTTTTGTTGCTTTTTGTACTGTGGATTCGAGCTTTAGAGATTTCAAATCTCTAAAATTTGCGGATATCAAATCTCTCATAATCAGAGGGATTCTATATATTGATTCGTGAGATTTTTTTCTCCTAGTTTTTCTCTTACTTTTATTTATTTATCACATGAAATATATTTATCAACAAACATTTTAATATTTATTGAATCACTCTAATTTTTTTTATCAAGGATAAACATTTTATTTAATATAAAATTAAATTTTTTATTTTAATTGAATGTTAACAATCACAGTTACCAAACAATAAACATTTTAAAATCAGTTTTCAACAATCTGGAGAGTTAGAATCGTTAGATTGTTGACAATCTGTAGATTTAAACTCATATTCTCCAAACGACCCCTAAGTACAATAGTCCACATACTTTTAGTAAGAAAACTATATATAGATATCGAATTAATTGGATGTTGGAGTATGATATTATATTGTAATCCTTAATGAATGAACTCAAGGTCCTAATTATATAGATCATAAACACTAAACCCCAAGATGGTGCATGTAGTTTGTTGCATGTATTCGATGGAAAAAAAAATTATCTTAGCTTATAAGATTTAGAGAAATAAGATATAGATTTCAATCTTTAACGGTTAGAGTATAATACCATGTCCCCAATTCCGGCCAATTCAAAGTGCATATAACATTTTCTTACTAAGGGTATGTAATACTCCATATTTACCTTAAGTACGATAATAACTCTCTATACATACTTGTAGCAAAACCATGACCGTTCCTAATTTTCCCATTAATGAAAAAGCAATTCTAGATGAAGCTTTTATAAAAGTATTAAAAAAAGTTTAACGTTTAATTTATAAATTATTAGAAGTACTTTTTAATGTCAAAGGTAATGTAAAATGACTAAAAACTCACACACAAAAAATGACTAAAAATAATTCCCGCAAACAGTTTTCGCAGCATTTCCAAACAAAAACTTTTCCTTATATGTTATAAAAATTCTTTTCAAAAATCGGACTTATAAATGTGTTGTGTTCGACTTAACTTTTGAAGCGAAAAATCACTTCTAAAATTCGCACTCTAGCCCCAAATCATCACTATTATGTTGATCGGAGCAATGACCCGACGTCGTAAACTCGTTTCCATCTTCATCACTGGCTAGTGGCTACAGTTACCATAGCTGTACTTGACCAATGTGATTAACTCTACTGCGGAAGAACAAAATAGTTGGTCTCATATATTACTAATGGATTACCATTTTTTTTATGGTTAATTTTAATGGATTCCCAATTTAAACCGTAGCGCTAAGCCTTTTTTTACTGCTACGTCTTCATTCGCTTAGCAGTTAGCCATGATTTGCTCCAGTTGCCAGTAGCCTGCCATCCTTCCTAGAATACAAATGTCTGGAATAATACCATAATTAAGTAAATATGACATATTGTTACCTATATACTATCTACAATCTACATTATACTCCAACACCCCCAATTTCCCCTTAAATTGGAGCATGAATTTTCCAATATGCGCAGTTTGGAAACCAAGTCTAAAAAAAGGAAGAGACTTAGTGAACACATATGCAAGTTGATTAAAAGAATAGACATTAAAAACTTCCATTAAACCAACCGTAATTTTATTTCAAAAGAGATAATAATTTAACTCAATATGTTTAGTCCGCTCGTATGCTACCTGATTAATAGCAATGCATGTTGCTGATGATGAGTTGTCACTATATAAAGTAGTAGGGTTAGAAACAGAAACACCAAAATCTACAAGTATATGATGAAGCAACTGAATTTCACCAGTTATATAAGTCATTGCTAGATATTCTACTATAGCGTGAAAATGAGAATGGATTGTTGTTTCTTAGAATCCCGCGATATCAATGATTCAATCAAGAATACACAAAATGCATTAGTAGAAAGACGTGAATCTAGACATCCAACCCAATCTCTATAAGAAAATGATACGAGAAGTAAACGAGAATAAGAGGGAAAGATTATATGTGTACAAGACTCTGTTTAAGGCAACAAAGTACTCGACGAGCAACCTAGAGGTGCACATCATTAGAAGCATTAACAAATTGTGATAATTGATGACCAAGGGAGACTGTATTCCTAGCGACCTACTAGGTATCTATACATAGAAGGGTCATACAAAAGACTACCAGCTTTGATAGAAAGATGAATTCCAAGTTTAGAAGGAATAAGAGGAGGTTTAGAAGCTAAGCACCAACATCATCTAACAAATCTAAAGACATATGTATAGTGACAAATAGAAATAACATTGTTGCTACGAGAAACTTCTAATCCTTGATTTTGAACATATCTCAAAACTATTCTTAAGGAATTGCATTTGATATAAAGATCTAGGGGTGTCCATTTGGGTTCGTTTCGGGTTTCGGATTTTTCGGTTTCGGGTTCAGTTTTGCTTATCGGTTTTTCGGGTTCCGGCTAAAAACCTCCAATGAATAGAACTCAGCCTGTATTCTTAGGAGTTCGGATTTTCGGGTTTCGGTTTTGCTTTAACCGAACCCGATAAGAAATTTTCGGGTTTCGGGTAACCGGAACTCGCAAGTTCTTATCGGGTTCGGGTTCGATTTAAGTGATTTTCGGTTTCGGATTTTTGAGTTTCGGTTCGGGTAACCGAACCCGACCCGAACTGACACCCCTATAAAGATCATTAGCTAAAATGACATCTTCAACATAGACAAGGATTACAATGAACTTTTCACTAACTTGTTTAGTAAAAAGAGAGGACTCAACTTTACTTTGTGTATAACCAACACTAGTAGAAATTGAGTAAGCTTATGATTCCATTGTCGGCTAGCTTTTTTAGGAGCACACAATTACTTATTTAACTTGCAAACTAGGTTAGATCCTTGAGAATGCATTTTCAAACCAAGTGGTGCTTTCGTATATATTTCTTCTACTGAATCACAGTGCAAGAAAGCGTTATGTACGCCTAATTGTATTGAAACCAACCCTTAATTAGGAACAATTAGTAGAATTCTAACAACAATAAGTTTAGCAATGAGAGAAAAAAATATAAGTAATCAATGCCATCTAGTTTTTTTTTTTTGCATCTTTTTGCAACCAACAGAGCTTTATATTCACGATCGCTTACAGAAAACCAATCTATAATAACATCGTCGTCCACGATGATGTAAATTTTTTTTATCAAAAGATCACTCGATTAAGAGGATATAATATAGTTTACGATGATGTAACTAGATTTCACTAGACCTTGCTGTATTTGCGCTTGGACCATCACTTGGGCTAATGCCTAATGAAAAGATCGTGTTGCTGGGCTTCCCTTTCAGATGTGGGCCGGTCTATAAGTCTTGTAGCAGAAACCTTAAACCCTCTCTGGCTTCTACTTACCTCTGTCATCTGCTGCACAGCAGAAACCCATAGCGATTCTGGGAGTGGCTTCGCTCGACAATCGATTGCGATCCTGTGGTAGCTCCGGCCAGTCGTGGAATCGGGTTATCCTTCGTTCTTGGGAGTGACAAGCTCAAGTTCTTCCGATCGAAAAATGCCATTGGGTCTGATAATGGGGATTGCAAGGGCAATGAGGAGGAAGCGGCCGTCGTCGCTTGACATTCTGTCCTCCAAACGGGCTCCGCGCAATTACTACAAGGGCAAGAACTGCAAGCCTACTGGTTTCCATACCCGTAAAGGTGTGCCTTCTTCGCTTTAAATTGGGCCTCTGTTGCTTCCTTTAGTCTGCGTCCTCTCCCTGTTTCTCTTCGCGATTCTAGGGTTTGCGAGTTCGCGAGCAACTCCTTAGCCTCTCTGTAGTTGAATTGATTCCCTCGTCTTCGTGCTGCTGAAAGTTTGTATCTTTGGAGCGGAATTCGCTGCTTGTGAGCTTAAATTCTTAATGCTATAGATTTTTTTTTTGATTAAAGGGAGGCTATTAAATCAGCCGAAGAGAAACCAATACACAGACAGGGACAAGGTTGCCAAACAGGAATGGAACCAGCCCAACGACCAAAAGATCACAGAGCATACAAATAGCCAAAAGAATCTACAGAAGTAACCCGCTGGTCAGACTATCTGTTTCGAAGCACTTGCCTCGGGAAGCTTATTCCCATCACATCTTCACGAAGTAAAACATCCAAGCTTGCCGGAGGATCGTCCAATTCATACGTACCGAAGGGATAGACGAGACTGTGCTTCGAGAGCCAGTCCGCGACTCTATTCCCTTCCCTGTACGTATGAACCAGTTGAACCACCCAGCCTTGAGCTAAGACACGACGAATCTGTCCAAGGATCGTTGAGTAGGGGTGAACCTGATCGGAACGTTGCTTGATCAACTCTAGTGCCAGCTGAGAGTCGGATTCAAGAATCACGAACTGGCCTCCTTTCCGCCAAGCTAGCTGAAGCCCTTGGAGTATTCCCCACAGCTCTGCAAGAAGCGCCGAGCCAGTACCCAGCTTACTGCAGAACCCCCCAATCCAGTCTCCGTAGCAATTACGAATAACTCCTCCTGCCGTGGCCATTCCCGGATTAGTTTGAGCTGCTCCGTCTGTATTGATTTTCCACCACCCGGAATTTGGGGCGACCCAGCCTATTAGTGCTTCCTCTCTAGCAGGTTTCATGGTGTGAACTGACCTTGCTTCAGCTGCCTCCCAAGCTTTGGTCCACTCATGAGCCTTTGAAGTAACATAGTTGCAAAGCGTTGAAGGCGAGAGCTGGATGCCGTTGAAGACCTTGTCATTCCGGGCCTTCCATATGTACCATAAAACAAGACTGAAGAAAGATCCCCAGCTACCCCGCCAGCTACCTAGACTCTCATTCTGCAGGTTGGTAATCAGCCAGTCTTCATAGTTGGCGTTGAAGAAGCTTGCTTGAAGGGTGTTGGGAACTATTCTGTTCCAAATCAATCTGACAGAATCACAATCCCGAAGACAGTGGAGACTTGTTTCAGGACTTCCCTCGCAGTTAGGACACGCATCATCAGAGGCCAGATGTCTAAGCTTTCTAACAGCATTAGTGGTCAGCTTCCCTTTAACGGCCAGCCAGACAAACATCCTCACTCGTTCAGGGACTTGAAGCTTCCAGATTTTCTGCCAAATAGGTTGTCGACTTGCTGTCTGAGAAGTCAAGGCCTTGTAGGCTGAGCTAGCCGAGAACTTCCCATTAGAAGTTAAGCTCCAGATTGGTCGATCGTCTTTGGTGGCTAAGGGATCAACCATGACAGCCCGGATCTTGTCAACAACATTCGTGGGGAGAAGATCTTCAAACTCCTCTAGTTTCCATCCCTGCTCCACATCCCAAAGGTCCGCAACCCTCCAGCAAAGCTTGTCAGCTGCAATCTCCCCTGTAGCAAGCTCAACCAGAGGCACCTGCAAAACCCAAGGATCTGTCCAAAATTTAGCAACTTTACCATTCGATATAATAAAGGCATAGCCCTTTTTAACAACATCTAAGACAGAGGTGAAACTCCTCCAAGCAAAAGATCCTCCCTTTGATTTTTTGAGGGTTGCTAGTCCATCTTTGTCACGAGCATACTTGTCCTTTAAAACCGCCGACCAGAGGGTGTGATCATTGGAAGCCAATCTCCAACTTCCTTTTGCTAGCATGGCTTTGTTGGTTGCTCGAGTTGGTCTGATCCCAACTCCACCTTGACTCCTGGGCAAGGTTAATTGGTCCCAAGCAATCGGATGGAATTTAGTTTGACCCTCCTCTTCTCCCCAAACAAATTGCCTATTTATCCTGTCAAGAGAATTGCAAACGGACACCGGTAGTGATTCTGAAAACATGGGATAAATGGACATAGAAGTTGAGATAGATCTCACCAAGGTGACTCTAGCAGCCAGAGACAAATGCCGAGTCTTCCACAAAGCAAGCTTCTTTTGAATTTTTAGACAAATTTCCTTGTATCTCGCTTTTGTGATGCGCCCATTGATAGCATTGATACCCAAATATTTGCCTAAGTCGTTCCTCAATGGAATAGCTGCCCTGTCGCTAAGTTGTTGTGCCTTCTGCCTGCTCACATTCGACGAGACTAACATTGCAGACTTTGAAAGGTTCACCTTCTGGCCAGAGCTTAGGCAGAAATCGTCTAGACATCTCCGAATGACATCAATTTGGCTGTTTGTGGCTTCTGCAAACAAGATGAGATCATCTGCAAAGAATAAATGAGAGAGCTTAGGTCCATTAGGTGAAAGAGCTAGAGGTTTCCATCTCTTTTCATCCACAGCTTGTTCGATGCAATGAGCTAATCTTTCCATACAAAGAACAAAGAGGTATGGGGATAAAGGATCTCCCTGGCGAACTCCCCTGGTAGGAGTGATAGACTCAGTTAGCTGCCCGTTCCAGTTGATCTTCATACTGTTGTTCTCTACACAGTACATGATTCTGTTCGTCCAAGTGCTAGGCAGGCCAATTTCCCCCAAGGTATCCCTGAGAAATGCTATAGATTGTGTCGCAAAATTAGGATGTGGATTGAACCATTAAAGTGCTTCTTGTCACAGAGTAATGCCTTTACGTGCTGCAACTTTAAGCCACAAGGTTTTGAGCAATGGCTTGTGGCAAAATCGCATTAGTGCTGATGAATATTTGCATTACCAGTTGTGGGTTCTTTTTATCATTTCGTGGTTGTGTTGGCCTTAATATGAACAACCTTTTTTCAGGTGGTTATGTCATCGTGCCGGAGAAGTTACCCAACTACGTAGTCCCTGATTTAACTAACTTCATGGTAAATTTTCTCTGCTCTAAGTACTCTCATATATTAACAGTGAAATGTTTGGTTTTTGAGATGGGAAGATAGGCCTTGCTGGTACTTGGAAACCTAATGATCTAGGAGTGTTTCGTTGCTTCAAATGTATATGATGTTTCAGCCAGTGGCCAATATATGACTGGTATGACTTTGTAGCTGCACCCAGGTCTACTAGATCCTGCAGCTGTATGATGTAAATTTAGTTCCATGCTGTTTCTCTGTATGATGTAAATTTAGTTCCATGCTGTTTCTTTCCTGTCACTTCTCAAACTCAGCTGCTGATTTCTTTGGTAAACTTATGTATGGATGTTCCAAATTCTATAGAAGGGGTAGAAGGTTGCGTGGTAAATATGTTATAGGTCATTCAGAGACTAGTCATTAAAGTTGGTTGGTTTGAGAGTACTTAGTTTTTGGTAATTGATGTAATGTATATTTGAGTTATTCTTTCTTCAGTAAAATGTAGTATGTTTCTAGTCGAAGTTATCAGAAAGCTCTGGCTATAAGATCCCCGTTACAGGAGTTACAATTAGATCGAGATAATGCTTTATTTCGGAGGCATGAGAGCTTGCTCTAGATATCAATGGAATCCATAGCTATTAGATGCTGATAGAAGCATTTGAAGATGGTATTTATTTATCACCAATTCTACATATTACTTGGATATTTTCCCTTTATCTGTCCTTTCATCTCTCAAGTTTAGTATTCCATGATCATTTGAGGTCAGACTGATTGCTAATGGAGATTTTGTTATTTTATTTGGGTTTCAGCTCAAACCATATGTATCTCAGTGCCCAATAGAAGTAAAACCAACAGAAGCTTGATACCCAGCCAAATAAAGGAGCTTGGCGAGCGAGAGGAGCTGAACATCTTTCACTCAAGATCTTTCAATCGCCACAAGTTTGATTTTTGAATCAGTTTGCAGGGAGCATAACAGTAAAGTTTGTGATTCTCTTAGAATGGTGAAAATGAAAATCAGTGCTTCTTTTCCTATTAGTATCCCTGGGCCATGACTTTGTGTTAGTGCATGATGTTTACCTGGAATATCTTTGATGTAGCCTTAATTTAGACAAAGATTCTTTTTTACTTGGTTGAATGTTGAGAGTGCCCTGTCTCGTTAAACATATGTTTGTTTGGGGGACCTTGTATGTTCGGAATGCTACAGTCGCCTATCTATCGAATTTCGTATCACTCGTCGACTTCAGAGAAATCAAACTTAGACAAACTGTCCACATTATCACAATTCACAGCCAGCAAAAACAATCAAAGCAACCTACAAAATTGAGCCACACTTTGTAACTCAAGTCTAAACTCACTGTTGAGGATATTAATTACTTAGTCAAAAAGTAATTAATTCTTTGTCCTACAAGTCCCTAGTTTTCCTTGTTCAAGTAAAAGAGGGAAATTTGGTTGTCATTAGGGTTTTAACCCTAAGTCTATATCTATAAAAGCTTAGCTACGGTCATGTCGTAAGCAAGCCGTCAAGATGTAATCCTAATAAGAGATCAGTCGTGAGCTCGTTCCGAGCTCACCGTGGATTAGTCTCGATCAATCAATCGACCGAGGATACCACGTAAAAATCGTTGTGTCCTGTGTTCTTTCGTATTTCCGCATCATCAAATTCTACATGGTATCAGAGCAAACCTCGATCTAGGGTTTTGCGTTCAACCTTCCGCAGTCTCGTTCCACAATCAAGATACGTCGGCCATCAATTGTCAAGGGTTTTGAGTTACAAACGTCTGGATCAATCAAGATCTGTTTGTCTACGAGGTCATTGAAGTCGTGTTCCCGGAGTTACCGATGTTCAATTTTCGTCCGGCTCTCCGCTAGCATCGTCGTCAATCGCAACAGAGTTGTTGTCTTGACTCGTGACGGCAGTACTGCTATTGCCGGTTCCGATTCGCTTGTCATCACCCAGTTGTTGTTCACGGCAAATCATCAGCGGAAGCCACCGATGTCCCTGCTGCTCGGCTGTGCTTCTTCGTCAATCGCGTTTCTCATTACCTGTCAAAGAGCTAAGAGGCAAGAATCCCTGGCAGTCAATCCATCGTCGGTTATTAGAGGTTAAAAGGCTTAACTATCCCTTTCCCAACAACTCGAGTTATTGGGACCAAGTGGTTAGTTCGCTAACATGGTATCAGAGCCTAGAACCAATTCATGCCAATTCGTCAAGAAATCAAGTCAAGTTGCGAGACAGTCACGATTATAGAAGCGATTGTTCCTTTCCTGTTCAGAATCGATCATTTTTCAGTCTTCACCATTCTAACTTTCAAGCTGGGTATTCACGTCGTTCATGCTCCAGCTTGAGGGGGGAATAAGGAGTCAAGTCATTGAGGAGATGCAGTCAACCATCTCCACCATATCCTACGGATAGACGTAGTCAATCGTCTCCGTCAAGTCATTCAAGGGACGCCGTCAACCGTCTTCATCAGGTTGTTCAAGGGAGAGAGCCAGTCGTCTCCAAATCAACCTCGTCCGAGATGTTATTCATCTCGAGTTATGTTGTTCAAGCTTGTCATGCTTGTTCGTCACATTTCCTTTTTCAAGCTCGACATTCTTGTCATTCATGTCTTCGCTTGAGGGGGAGTGTTGAGGATATTAATTACTTAATCAAAAAGTAATTAATTCCTTGTCCTACAAGTCCCTAGTTTTCCTTGTTCAAGTAAAAGAAGGAAACTTGGTTGTCATTAGGGTTTTAACCCTAAGTCTATATCTATAAAAGCTTAGCTACGGTCATGTCGTAAGCAAGCCGTCAAGATGTAATCCTAATAAGAGATCAGTCGTGAGCTCGTTCCGAGCTCACCGTGGATTAGTCTCGATCAATCAATCGATCGAGGATACCACGTAAAAATCTTTGTGTCCTGTGTTCTTTCGTATTTCCGCATGTCCTCAACACTCACCAACAATAATAGCTCATTCTTAAACTGTGAAATCAGCATGCTATGATCCTTTCTCATACCTCCATAGATTCTGTTGCTGCAAATGTTCTTCCCACATGTCCTCCCTTCTTTACAATGGCACATATTCTCACCAATAAAGCATCCCATGTACTCGGCCAGCCCTGCATAAAACTGTTGAATACAGCAGCAAGCATAGCTCTACTACAAGAACACACATATAAACTTGCAGTCTATCTTTTGTCACGATTCGGTTGAGAACAACTAAGCTAACCAAGCTATCACTCAGATGTCGGAAAGGTAAACTACTTGCCCCAAAGGACCTGCCACCAGTTCACCATAGGCCGTCTCACTCGAACTGAATGTCATATCTTCTGCATAATCCATCCATATCCACGAACACGCTGCTGTCAAACAGATCTGCCCTTCAATCTGTGTTTGCAAATCCAGGCTACTCAAAAACTCCCCCTCCTGCATAAGCAAAAGCCATAGGAGGCGAGCTACACAATCAACATTCCACGTAGTTAATTAGATCCTTCAATCCCAAACCCGCTTCTTTCTTAGGTGTTGCCAAGACTTCCCATTCCGCCATGGCCTTTCATGTTCCCTCTCCAAACCAAAATAAAATCAGAGCAAATCTTATGAACAGTGTCTATCACATTTTTAGGAAGAACCAGAGGTACTAGGGTGGAACCAGAAAGTCTCAAGAACACAGTGCCGTATTTGAAGAGGTCAAAACAGCTAGGGAATTGGGAATGAGTACCCACCTTCTCCGAAACGGATTCGGACTGGTCGGAGGGAACTCTGCTTCTCCTTTTCCAACAAGAAATCGGCAATCAAATCAGTGGCTATAAAAAGAGCCGAACCCCGACTAACGCAAACACCATTGCAAACTGGCACTCCAATTAATTAGCGAAGGAGAAGGGCGAGAAGATAGAAATCGCCAATCCCTAATCAAGTTCGATCGGCAGCTGAAAAGAAAAGATGCAGGTGTTCGTGAAAACGCTCACCGGGAAGACGATTACCCTGGAGGTGGAGAGCAGCGACACCGTGGACAATGTGAAGTCCAAGATTCAGGACAAGGAAGGGATTCCGGCCGACCAGCAGCGCCTGATTTTCGCCGGGAAGCAGCTGGAAGACGGCAGAACTCTGGGCGATTACAACATTCAGAAGGAATCGACGCTTCACTTGGTTCTGAGGCTCAGGGGAGGGACGATGATCAAGGTGAAGACGCTGACGGGGAAAGAGATTGGTGTCGACGTGGACTTGAACGACACGGTTGCAGGGATAAAGGTGAAAGTGGAGGAGGTGGAAGGAATTCCACCGAACCAGCAGCGGCTGATCTTCAAAGGGAAGCAGATGGCCGATGACAAGACCGGGAAGGACTACAAAATTGAAACCGGCGACGTTCTTCATCTCGTGCTCGCACTCAGGGGCGGCGCTGCCGGCGGAATAAGTAATACTGGGTTTAATTAGTTGGGATTTAGACTGAGTGGACTCAATCCATGACTGGATGTAAATCGTTATTCGTTAATTATGTTTATTAGTGGATTCAATCCGATGTTTTTTTCCCAGTACCGTGATAGATGTTGGCTAGACTAATATTTTTTTGGTAACGTAGCGACTTTTCGTTTTGACTTTACTAGATTACAACGGTTGCTATTTTTCTTATAATCAACTCAAATAATAAATGAAAAGAAATAGTGATGGGAGATGTATAAATTATTCTGAAATAGTTTTCTTACTGCGCTCCGCGCTGGGATTTGTGATACAATCACAAAATAGAAAGGTTGTATTTCGTGTTCTTTGTGATCACTGATCAATGTATAATTAATTTGCAAATCAAAATCCAAGAAAATGTAATAAGTTAATATAAAAAAGTAGGTCACCTAAAGTTCTCATGAAATTAATACCAAGTCTGCAGATATTTCATTAAGTAAAACTGAAAATTTGTAGACAGAAACCTGAAATGTAGATTTGAACTTCCAATCATTGATACAACTACCTAGCATTCGAGTGCACGAACATGAACATATTACGTATTATGACTTTGGATCTATAATAATTTGTGCAAGGACATATAAAAAATGTGGTGTTGTTCTTACATATCCTCTTTCATATCCATATGATTGACGTGGATCCAAATGGTTCAAATATCATATATAACATACTGTAACACATTCAACTATAATCTATTGCATTTACAGTTATGGTAGATAACATTTGAACACACACTTGGTACAAATAAGTAAATATATTGAAGCTTTCCTAACCAAGAACTTCCCAAACCAACCAAGCAAAAGAGTACTTTAAGTTAAACTGACCAACAACAAATGTTAGAGACTTCCCTCAAAGGCCAAATCCATCTCCAAACTTTTAATTAATCAACTACACATACTTTAAAAGAAAGTTGCCCACAAAAGTGGCAAAAAAAGCTGTATTGGAAATATTTTGGTCTTCTACTTGTCTCTTGAATGCAGAATGCTTGACCACAAAGTACACATTTTAGAATTATTCAGGGCCTGAATCACATTTTCCATCATTGCCAGTTAAACCCAAAACTGACATGTGTATCCACTATTGGTGTTTGTGCATCCATTATAGTTGTTTCTACTACACCTGTAGCATTAAAACAAACGATTATACCCGCAATTGAAGAAACAGAGGAAAAACAAATTTATAGGAAAGAGAAGAAACTCATCCGAGAGGCAGAAAGAACAATCACCTGAACCAAAAGCACCATGCCTATAAGAAAGTTTGGATCTGGCACTTTTCCAAACACACACAGAACCGCTCACGTACAAAACTTGATCAACCCGAGCTGGAGCCGCATTTGCCTTCCCATTGGCATGCTGCTTCGGCAAGAAACAAAACCAATTACTTTTGCTCAGGCAAAGACGACCTTACTGGCTCAATTGAACGCACGCACAATGAGGAGGGTGATTCATAAACACCGCTGAGAGAGGAAAAAGAAGAGAACCAAAGTAAGACGTGGAGCTACTCAACATTAATGGTTGAGAGAAAGCAGGAAATCTCACCCGAAACCCATTTCTGGATGATCTTATGGCTCGTTTTGGGTTTCTCGATTGATCGCCCTTTAAATCCAAGCAATACTCTTCTTTTGTTGGCCGCAAACTGAACTTCAACAACCACCCCTGGCCAACAAAATCCCTGTCGGGAACTCGTCGCCTGCATTTCTTCAGAAGAGAGATAAAAAAGAATTACAAACTAAGCTAGAAAAAAACTAAACACCACAGAAAAGAGATGGAGCATAACCATCAAAATCTCACCTTATAACGTCCTTGTTCGCAAATCTGGTTCCCCTCTGTCGTGGATATCGCCTCCCCCCGTAGTGGATACTGTCCAATCCCGATCAACAATGTAACAGGTGCAACAGATCTTGCAGTTCTGGGTCTTCTACGCATTCCCTCCGCTTGCAACGGCCACTTGAATCCGCTGTTTAGTTTTCCACCGTGGACAACGCAGATACCACTCCCTTCTTGCTCCGACGTCGGTGATTTTTTAGAGAATGAGCGCAATTGCTCCACCAATCTTTTCAATTTCTCTCTGATCCCGGAGCTCGCTCGGACGATGTTGAAGGTGAGAATAAGTGAGAGAAACAAATTAATTAGAGCTTTCTGCAAAGATATCCAATTCAGATGGGAGCGAGGAAAGGTTGAGTAAAGAGGAAAAAAAAAACATGATGTGTGAGAAGTAGAGTTGAGGAGGTAGGTAGAATATGTGGTGGAGAATAAGAGCTTTGATTTCCCCCTACTGATATCTCCATTCTCTACTCACAGTCCACTGACCCTCCCTCTCTTTTCTCTGCAAGACGAAAAGCATGCGTCAATCAAAATGGCGAGTCACCATCTCCCATCAAAAGCCATCGATGGGATGAAACGGCGACTGAAATCCCCACTCCGCAAGCATCCATCAGCAAACTCTCAGCACCCAAAAATCATCGGCCCCACAAAGCATCCCTGTGACCAACGCGATTTTCCTCTGAGCATGCTCCAGTTCTCTCCAAATAAAAGAAAGAAAGAGAGCACCCAAACGACGGCAGGAGGATACAGAGGGCCCACCACAACCCAACAACCAATAAGAACTCGGTGAACAGGAAATTTGAGTCTGTATGAATAGTAAAAGCAGTCTAGATGTACAGTGTTAGGTGTTTTGGGCTATTATACTTTTAATTAACTAGTACACATCCCGCGCTCTGCTGCGGGGTATGTTATATTTTTTAGTCCTCGTAAATCTTAGATGAAAAATTGAAAGTTTAAGAATATAGATAATGGAAATATAAACCATACGAGAGTTCAATGTGATACTACATCCGTGGTAGTATTTGCCAGCAATTGTGAGCGGATTGAAAGTCATTTAGTTCATATTAACAGTTGGAATGTTAATATTGCTTCGATGATCAAATATTATCTGATTGCTGGAATTATTTTAAAAAGACTGTCTTGTGCACTCATGCAACACCAGCACATGAATATGTAAATACCTAAACAGAAACTTCACTTTCCAAGAGCAAGTAGCAATTGTGATTGAGCGAACATGGACCAACTCACCACTTCAGTAGCCTACCTGATTCTCCGATAACAAATAGAAATTCAGAAAGGCACAAACCATTATCATGAGATTAAATACTAATCATACGAACAGTTCAAGACACTTATATTCCATTTGTGCTTGAGTTGTAACGCAGAGTCATGTACAAATAACAGTAGAGAATGAGTTCTCAGCATAAGAACTAAACACACAGTGATTAAATGTAGTGGAAGGAGTACATAGGTTGCCCATACAATTGGTCCCTCCTCTTCAGCTTTGCCTTCTCACCTAGAGGATGGGAGCAAAGAAACTTGTAATAAATCAAAGAGAATAATGAGATTTTACTGACTAAAAAAGCAAGAGACATGAACAACATTCATTTAGCAGAAGGTGATAAACTTAAAAGATTAGTTAATTGAAGTCCGGATTATTTCTATTACAAGGATAATGCAAGGAGATGCAAAAAATATGATTGACTGCAAACCACGTGGCTCAACTATATTACACATCCGTCCATGAGGATAAGACATGGATAAGAATCCATTAATAGCACACAAATGGATGGCCAACATAAATTGCATCTACATTCATAAAGCTAAAACTGATGACGATTCGTGCATGAGAAGGATCTAACCAAGAAGCAAATGTCCATACCGAATTGATGTAGCTCCATGAGGTAGTCCGTCAACTGCACTTCTTCTCCTCTTCATCCAACCATCCATTCGGCCATTCCTCCTCCTAGAGTGCAAGTTGCACGATAAATCTCATCGATCGCTTCCAGCTTGCCTCATAGGTGCTTTAAAGATACCAAAGGCAAAAGTTTCTAAACAATGTTCAAACACCAACATATATCTCGTTTAAGTTCTAAAGTCAATAATGATTTGATTAGGCGAGCTCAATGATAATTGGCTTGAGTTGGTTTGTCATTAGCTGTTAGTACTTAGTAGCTTCTAGCCTTATACTATACATACTCTAATTCACTTTTAAAAGCAAAGCTGTAATGGCAGCAGCTGCTCATAGAAGAACAAAGTAGATAAAATAATTAATCACGCCAAGTGGAGTTAACAGAGAATGTAGAACACAGTGACAATGCAACTCCAAGAAATTGGAGAACTACTCAAATACAAAGGCCTACAAATCCTATATCAAGCACAATTACTATAAGGAATCTGCAACAGCTGACTATAATTAGAAGTTAAACAAAAATTATATACTTGACAACATGACCTAGTGGGTTCTGGACATTGGACAAAAGCATCACATCAATAAGCAGAATGAGTTTATAATTTTCTATACATCATAGCCACTTGAAGCCCAAGCAATTCAAGGCGACCATCTAAACTTTCCTTAAACCTTAATTTCATCATTTAGTAGCAAGTTCCATGAGATTTTCTGCACAGATATCTGCAAATACCATCTACCTCCTCTCAGACTCCATAAGCACCAATTATAATGGGGAAGGATCAGTTCTGGTCTTTTTGGAGCTGACTTTTGCTATTTATAATAGATTGATCAAAGAGAAACTAATTTATAATTGATGTTAACTATATCAACATGGCTAATTTACAATTGATGTTAACTATACCAACTGGAAACCTCCAGAATCAAACTAACCTACTTAAATTTGGCAACACCTATCAAGATGACAGCGTTACCTAACACCTATGTAGCCTACGAAACTTCCTCTAAGAATGCACAACACTAAATTTCCCAGAATTTGCAAAACTTCCTCCAAACAATCGTTCCCTGAATTTCCACAAGCTGCCTGCAAAACTTCCTCTAAGAAACTTGAACTTAACAAAAGAAAAGAACCAACAGCTAGCATTTGAGAGCTAACAAAGCTCTATAATACATTAAACCTTAATGATTCATTCTGCCAAATACAAAATGTAGGAAGGAAGTAGGAGTTCAGAATACAATTGCTCTGAAAACAATTGAGTAGAACAGCTCATTTCTCAAATGGAACTCCCCACCTTTACCGTGTTTTATATAGCAGGAAATGAGAGAGACTGGTCATCGACTGGCAAGACTTTGCAGATCTCCCTGTATAATCAATTAAGCAAGGAACGATTAACAACATTGGTCAACAACAAAAGGAGTAAATGAATCGGTGAATCAGAACGCAAGGGAATTCACCTCAACAGGAATTCAGCGGCTAACTCCCACCGTGATACTAACCATCTGAGCCCATCAGTAAAGTATTTTTTACCAAAAATAGATCGAACATACTTACTCAGAGAAAGGGAGAACGATCCACCTATGAAAAGAGAGGGACATAACAATCAGCTACAAACCAAAAACATAACATGCAGATTGGGCTCTTCTTCCTCCTGTATAACACTCTAAAAGAAAGTTACAACGAACAAAAAGAGAGCAGAAGAAGGACTCTGAAACAAACCCAATAGAAAAGGGAACATGACCTATATAACTGATAACTCTGGGATCCACAAAGTCGGTATCATATTCGCCTAAGGAGACGAATCCCAGGGAGAAGATTTGGATTCCAAAACTGCAATCTGGCCATTCTGTTTCCTGATCAATCTCAAACCCAAGGACAAAAACAAAGAAATATCAGTAAAACAAACTGAAAGTGGCGATCTACCTTGAGATCGAGAGATAAAAAGCAAGTTGAGAGATGAATCGATGTGGGTCGAAAATGTAGAGCTGGAGAGTGAAAAGATAAATAAAATGGGAGCAGAACTTTTTATGTCGTTTCTCAGCTCCTACCAAGCAGAACTCTTCTCCCAAACACGAAAGGCATCGCCGATATTTTCTCTGGAAAAGAGAAAAAACACTGCTAAACAGAGGAAGAGAGAATGATCCATCCATGAACAGAGATATTAACTGTCAAAAATTAAAACGGGACCTACGAATCAGTATGCTCCGGCTTGAGAATCGGCACCGCACCATCTTCGGATCCCCGCTTCTTCGGAGAGGGATCCTCACAACAGGCGGGTGATCGACGATTCCCTGTTCGCTGACAACTACCTCGCTTCCGAGATGAGAGAGAGAGAGTGGCTCATTAGAGATGAAGAGCTAGCTGATGGAGAGACTGTGAGAGAGAAAGAAGTCCACATTAAAACTCACCCGAAGCACTCGCTCCCCGTCAATCGCGTCAGTTGGGTCTGTCTTCCCGTCAATCGCAGCAGCAGGGCACACCGTGAAGAAGGCCTGCCTGAGAATGAACAGAAGATCCATTCCATGGAGTTCTCCCTTGTTGCGCAGCAAAAACAGACGGAACGGGAGCACCGACACTGCAAAAAGAGAGAGAACACAAAAGTCAGTAGAAAGAGAGAGGAAAGGGCGAAATGCAAATTGGAAGGAGAAAGAAGAAGAGGATATCTGCAGTGCGGCAGTATTTTCCTCCTTCCCCCTGACATCTCGAGACCAGTACCCACAACGTAGCTCTCCCCTTTTGTCTCAGGAGTCAGGAGGGTCAGGAATGAGTGGCCAAATAAAAAGGAGACGTGGCTCCTTGCCAGCCAAACAAAACATAAATAGTTCTCTCCCTCTCTCTCTCTCAGTACTCAATAGCCTCTAATAAAGAACCAACAATCCCTTTTTGCCTAAAACAACGCAAAAATTTTCAGTCTCTCTCGGGAGAGAGCCTCCCACTTGAGGCCGGCGCGAATTCCATGGTAGGGGGAAGGAGGAAGAGAGAGATGTCAGGAAGCAGCTGCAAAATGACCGCAACCCAGACCAACCACAGTGCAACAACCAATCACGGGGTCATGAATAGTAAGACTGTCATGGTGAACAGATAAAAAGCGACGGGACAGAAGTGGGGACAGAAGAGAAGAAAGGCAGAGGGAGGAGGAAATTAGCGGAAAGTAACATGCATCTACGAACAACGATATTTCCATCGCAAGCAACCTGCCGCCAGAGGGAGGCTCCCAAGTGAAATCCACCACTGATAGAGAGCAGCAGCCCACCGATTCGTGAGAAAGAGAGAGGAGATGCACTGGGGCCCATAACAGGCAACAACCAATCAGAATCCAATGAACAGAGTAACTGAGTCCAAATGAATAGTAGGATGTGTCTTGCTGTACAGGGATTGGGCGTTTGTGCGATTAACTTTTCTTAACTTTAATATATGGAGATGTGAGCTAGTTGAAGGTCAAATGGAGAGATAAGAGGTGTGGCTCGCCAACAGTTGCTCCAGTGGCGAATGAAGTGTGCTGGTGAACTATTATTATTCTGAATATGGAACTCCTTCAATTGGCCGATTGGATAAAGGAGGAAATGGACCAATGCCACGATCAAATACAGCTCCTCAAGCACAACGACTGCTCCTTTGAGTTATGTTGCAGTAATCGAGCAGTTGTCACGAATAAGGCCTCCGAAAGCAGAAGATCCCGTGGGAGAGAGGACAGAGCCATCAGCTTAGATTTATGTCCATCATTCAGGTGAAGGTCTCCATCCAATCTGAACCTCTCCTCTGTCAACCGGGGGGGGGGGGGGGCGGGGGTAAACTCCTTTCCACATTTTGCATTGCCTTCTTGTAGATATTGAACCAACCTTCAATTTTGCAGATAATAGATTTTTCCACAAAATCCTTGCCATCCATGCACTCTTCATTTCTCTGCTTCCAAAGGTGCCACGCGATCAATCCAAACTTAGTTCCTTGATTCTCATCTTCAGGATTTCTTGAAATCCAATCCTTAAAAGACAGATTCCTTTCCTTGATTGTAATCCGAGTTATGAATTTTTCCCAAATGTTAGGTATCTTTCTGCAATGTCTGATGATGTGTTCGGTGGTTTCTTCAACATCCTTGTAGTGACTGCAGTTGCCATCGGTAGTAAGCTTTCTCTTTGTAGGTTCCTTGTTGGTGAACAATCTATCGTGCATCACAAGTCAGAGAAAGTGCTTGGTTTGACTAGGCCCGTTCCATTTCCAGAGCTTCTTCCAAATCTTCCATCCTTCTCCAGGCCCCAGATACATTTGCCCCCTCCCAAATTTCTCTTTAGAGGTTCCATTGCATCAATCAATGGGAGGATGTTTGGAGGGAACATGTGTTGGAGCTTCTGCCAGTCCCAGTCTTCAGAGTCATCAGTCCAATCTGCCACTAAGGAGTCTTCTTTATGAATGTGAGCATTCTGCAGGATGTGTTCTTTGAGGTATATGTCGTGATCCATCCATGGATGATGCCAGAAACTAGTTGTTTTGTCATTCCTGAAACTCTAGTTGGTAGGACTTTTCATGATAGCTTTCCACAAGTTTGAGTGGTTGCTTCTTTTCATCGCCACGATTTGTCCATCTTTGTGCTTGAAATATTTTCCTTGCATAACTTGCCCCCACATGTCATAACTATTATGGAAAATATGCCAAGCAAGCTTAATCATGAATATTCCAATAACTATCCTTTCCCTGTATTTAAAGGTAACTAATTCACAAATACAAACTAATTTGACAAGCTCTTAAAGTATAATGAAATAGTATATCCTTGAAGTAACTTTTTATTGTTTTCTTGTGCAAATCATGAAATTTTGGAGCATAAAAAAAGTTATACATGAATTCTTGGTAAATGAAAACTCTCCCAATCTAAAAAATCAAGAATTCACAAGCTACCAATATTCATCATTTGGACTAGAAGAATAAAACAGAATAGAACTTATTCTATTAGGGATTAATTGGGAAAATGTGATGTTATTTTTCTACTATTCAAAGGATGTAGATGTCAGAGACAATATGTGATGCGATGAGCAGTATGAGAGAGGGGAAGGTGACATAAATGAGTTGGAGAGAGAATAAGTTATTGAGGGAAGTTTGGCGATTATAGGGTGGGAAGTATTAGTAAAAGCGTAAAGCATTTTGGTGACTTAGAAGTATAAAAATGTAAGTTTTGAAGTTTTAAAATGTGATTTTATTTGATTGATTTAACATGGAAACTTATATACTGGTCGATATAAATGAATTCCATAAGTTTTGAGAAATTTATTTTCAAATGAAATCTTTCTGGGTTTAGTATTTAAAGGAATTTATTTTCAATTCTAAATTTTGAATTCTATGAAATTGGAACTAGTTTTAGCAATTCCGCGGAATTGAGATGAAATTTTCAAATGAATTCCACAAGTATTTCACTGATTATAATAGAATGCCATAATTATCCTTATTTATTAACTAAATTACTTCTACAGGTTGCAATACATAGACTATGCACATCTAACCCTACTCTTTTCGCCGGTACGTTAACTTGATATATATAATTTCTCCTAAACTCTGCATTCTGGGTGACTCCAAATTCCATTATGCGGGCTAAGCGACAACATGCTATTTGGCAATGAAACCAACTCTCTACCTTTTCCAAATGTTTGGATAATAACTTTGTCACTTGCGTGTTTTAGAAGATGGATTTTCAATGAATATTATTTCTGCGGGAAATTAATAAGGATATAGTTGGAAACTTTAAATTTAATTAAATTATGAATGTATGCCAATTGCCAAACATGGTTTGGGATTTCAATTCATTTTATTTCTAAAGAATCGAATAAGACATGTCAAACACAATAATTCATTTGACAATGAATTCTTCAAGTAATTCATTTTAAAATAAGATGAATTCTTGATTCATTTGGTACCAAACGGTCCGTTAAGGCGTTTTGGTGATCTAAAAGCGTAAAAGCATAAGATTTTAAACTTCAAAGCACAATTTTAACTAAATTGGGCAAAGTATACATAGATAGCCATGACTATGCACTTTGTGACAATAATAGTCAAGTTTTGATTAAATTGGGCAAAGTACACATAGATAGCCATGACTGTGCACTTTGTGACAATAATAGTCATCTTTTGAAAAATATAAAGATATAGGCGCTCCATCAATAACTTTATAAACACGGTGATAGATGCTGACTGGACTCGTTCAAAGCTATTCTCAAAATATGTAAAAACAAACAATAGTGCAAATGCTCGTTCAAAACAAATGAGAAGAGATCTCAAGTATAATAACAACAAACTAGACAATGTGGTGTCTAAAAAGCACATTAAGAAACTAAATTAACAAAATGAAACATGGAAGGACTATGCAACCCATAAACATACTACAAACTACAAGTAACAAAATGAGGTTGGTGCGAGTTGTCAAATAGTGAATGAATGAACAATGTATAATTAAGTGACCATTTTGGCTGTTGAGGTTTTGTTAGTAGTGAGATAGGGAGCCAAGTTGGGAGGGATAAAATACACAGTACCTTATATTTCGTCATTGATCAGTATTTCGCTATATATATATATATATGAATACGACTCGTATGCTCCTGACACATACGATGCTCCAAGCCTTTGCACCGTTGATCTAATCTAACGGTCATCATAAATGATGATAAAATTATTTATTAATTATAATTATAATTACTAATTCCATCCATTAAATATTTATATGCACACTTTAGGCCCCCAACAATTTTGGCAGTCGTATTTTGCATTATAGTACCTTGATTTTGTTAGCCATACTTATCGACACCCAAATTTATTTAGTCGATAAATTTTGTCTCCATCAAAATTTGATTCATTATATTACTTGCTCAATATCAAGGTATGACACCAACTTCCTCCAAATCCACCATCACCTCATACGTCAAAACCCAGAAAACATACTTCCCTTAGAACATCTCTATCAACAGAAAAAAAAATCCATGTTCGAGATCCACCTTCGGCTTCATCTAGAGTGTCCTGGAGATTGGGTTATTTCTTGTTCAAGAAACCTTGAAATCCTTTGATTCCCATTTGTCAATCATCATCAAACATCCCGATTACTTATCCCGAGTCACTCTGACTTTCTTTCTCTTGTGCCCAGTTGTGGTTTGGGCGGCGATGGTCGCTTCCGATGCGGTGGTTTGCCTATTCTCGTTCTTCTCGATTCTGAGAACTTGGAGTAGGGATTCGAGGTAGGCGGCATATCGACCGCAATTCCACTCGTCCACGAGAGCGCCGCTTCCTTCCAGGGACTTACGTAAGTAAATTCACAGTTAGGTTGAATTTGATTTTAGACAGGCTAAAATTCATCAATGTCGAATACTCGCTTAGAGCTTTCCCCTTAGGAGGGTTCGTGGGGTTCCCTGATAACAATCTCCACAGAGATATGCTAGTCGAAGGCGGAATTTGGGAAAAAACGGTCTATTCCAGACCTGGTTAGTAATT